GGGTCTTTCCCTCCAGCTCTGTACCTCCAACCTACCAAGCATGATGTCCCTCTCCCAAGGACTGGTCCCTCCTTACAACACATCGAAAGTATGTCAGACGAAGCCTCAGAATCCTTGCCTCCAAAGAGCAGCCCAGTCTCCCCCTCTCCAGGATGAATCTGTTTGTTTCCTAGCTGTCCGTGATACCCTGAATACTCTTCTCCAGGCTGGGTTTAGAAGAGGTCGTGGTACTTGGGATATTGTAGCTCCTATTAGATGGATCTTGGCTGAAAGTAGGGAATACCAGAGGAATGTCTATCTGTGTTTCATTGATTATGCAAAGGCGTTTGACTGTGTGGATCATAACAAACTGTGGCTGACTCTGAGAAGAATGGGAATCGTAGAACACTTGATCGTGCTAATGTGAAACCTATAATTGGACCAAGAGGCAGTTGTCAGAATGGAGCAAGGAAATACTACATGGTTCAAAATTGGGAAGGGCATATGCCAGGGATGTGTCCTGTCTCCATTCATTTTCAGCCTGTATGCAGAACAGATTATCTGGGAGGCTGGGCTCTATGAGGAGAAATGTGGCATCAGGATTGGTGGAAGATCTAACAACAATCTGTGTTATGCAGATGACACAACCCTGCTTGCTGAAACTGAGAAGGACCTGATGCACTTGCTGCAGAGGGTCAAGGAGTGCAGCCTTCAATATGGATTGAGGCTCCATGTCAAGAAGACAAAGATTCTCACCACTGGACCAATTGGCAGCATCAGGATGGATGGTGAAGAGATTGAGATTGTTCACAGCTTTAGATTGCTTGACTCCACAGTCAACACTCTCGGTATCAGCAGCCAGGATATTAAAAGACATATTGCCATGGGAAAGTCTGCTGTTAGTGACCTAAGGTGTTTCTGATACAGGCCATGGTCTTTGCAATCACTTGTTATGCCTCAGAGAGTAGGACAATAACTAGGGAGGCTAGAAGGAGAAATAATGCCTTTGAGCTGTGGTGCTGGAGAAGACTATTGAGGGTACCATGGCCTGCTGGGAAGGTGTGTATAGCATTGGCAAAGTCTGTTTCCAGGGAGTTCTCTCCTAGTCCTGAAAAGGTATGATGTAAGTTTAAAGGCTAAGGTGTACCTGATTCAAGCCATGGTTTTTTCCAGCCACCTGCTGTATATCTATCTGAGAACTAGACAATGGTGATTAGTTTTAAATCTCACTTGTGCTCAAGATCTTCCTGTTTTACAGCTTACCAAATGGAGACATTTGGATTGTTTTTTGTGTTTTTTTTTGTTTTTTTTTTTTATTTTGTGTGTCTGTGTACCATCAAATCGGATCTGACTGGTACAGGAGGAGATTGTCCCTCCTTTCCCGGCAGAGCATCTGGTGGATTTGAACCATGCACCTCTGGGATTGCAGTGCAGCTTCTTGCCACTAGGCCACCAGAGCTCCCCCTGGATTGTTTTATTTTCATCCCTTTCAGTTCTGGAGACTAAGTTGTGCCTTATGATCCAGGCGATAGTCTTTGCAATTACTTGCTATGCATCAGAGCTAGGCAGTGACTAAAGATGACAGATGTGTCCTGTAGAAGGTAAAACCAAGTTGCTCCTTGTTGTTGTTGTATGTACCATAGAGTCTGAACTGACCCATAGCTGACCCTCCAGTGGGTTTTCACAGGCAGTTATTCACATGGGAGAAGATTACCCAGGCTCTCCCACGGAGCAATTGGGGGCCTCGAACCAAATACCTTAAGGGTTGCAACACAGCTTCTTACCACTAGGCCACTAGAGTTTTGAAGCTCCGGTTTCACATACTTCAGGCATGTTGTCATCATGCTTCGAGGGTGAAGGGACAGTTCAAGACCCTGGACAAGGTGGATTGACTCAGCAACTGAGATAAGGGGGTTAGGTCTGTCAGAGACAGACTGGCTCTGGATAGAGTTCACAGCTATTGTGCATAGGGTCACTATGAGTTGCATGCAAATTTGTGGCACATAACAACAACAAAGTAGTGCATATGGAGGATGGATGCTTGCCTGAGAATTGAAGGATCAGCAGTTTAAATCCTTCAGCTGTCTTGGAAGAAAAGAATGATGCAGTGAGTGCTGCTTCTGTAAAATTTGCTATTGCTGTTATATGCCATCAAGTCGGGACTAACGCAGAGCTGAGTTTTAGCAGGTTTTCAGAGGCTATTCTGCCATTTTTCACTCAAGGAGCAGCTGGTGGATTTGAATTACCTGCTTTTGGGTTGGTAGTACAACTCCTTACCCTTTAAGTCATCTGAGTGCTGTCTGTAAAGTTTCGAGCCTTGAAAATCCTGTGGATCATTAAGAGGGAGCAGCTATCAGGAGCTGGCTAGCCTGCAAAGCAGGATCAGCAGTGCTTTGTAAAAACAGCAGGACCACCTATCTTGGCTTGACCATCTGTTCTGCAGAAAACAACTCCAGGAAGCAGTATGTTAATGAATAAGAGTGACCAAAGGTCTCAGACCTTAGGGAATGTTATTTACCGAAACTCTTTGTTTCTTAGAGCTCTCAATAAGACATGCTGTAAAACATCTTTGTATTGTGCTGAGGTCTGTGAGAGTTAATGTTTGATCTGATAGACAACATCCGGGATGGAGAGAGATAATGTGATGGCTACTGCAGAGGTACTCCTAAAACCTATATATGCTTTAGAAAAATGAAAGGTTTTCGCTATTCGACATAAAAGAAAAATCCTATGGATCAGTTCTTCTCTGTCCTATAGGATTGCTGAGTTAGAATCAACTTGATGGCAAAACATTTGGGTGCGTGGATTAATGCTTCAGGCCCAATTGAAAAGTCAGTACAAAGTTTCATGGAGAAAGCCATGAGATTATCTAAATCACACTGATGGTTTATAGGGTTTACTCAAATGCTTGGCTTTGAGATCCTGAAGAAGAAAGTTCATGTTGCTGCTGTGGATTCATGCTGCACATTATGTGTTTTACCAAACTCCTACACCTAAACTGGACTACTCTATTTGATTATAGAAGAAACAATGTTAGTATGAGTTACAACTTGTTCTCCACACACAAGCTTATATGAGAACGGGGATGCCCACTGATAGTTAACGACTGAATAGGAAAAAACCCAACTGTGAATCAACCCATTATACAAATCCTTAACCTAACACTGGAGTGCACCTCAGGAAAGATGAAGTAAAAGGAACTCAGCAAGCGCGAACCGCGCCTGTTTACCAAAAGCATCAATCTCTCACATTACCAGTATTAGAGACACTACCTGCCCAATGATATTAGTTAAATGGTTGCAGTACTTTCACCGTGCAAAAGTCCCATAATAATTTGTTCTTTGGTTAGGGACTTGTCTGAATGGCTTAATGACGGCTCAACTGTCTTGTACTTCCAATCTTACTTCTTGACCTTCCCATGAAGAGATGGGAATAAACTTCTAAGACAAGGACACCCTATGGAGCTTCAATTAACTTATCGATTAATTATACTACTCAACTAGGATCACCATACAATTAACTAGATAAAAACAGTTGGAGTGATCTCGGAGTATTAAAAAACCTCTGAATTATATTCTGTCATGATACTACAAATCTGCATTAAAAAATCTCATTGATCAAAATATATTGATCAATGGAATTAGTTACTCTAGGGATAACAGTGCAAGTCTATTCTAGAGTATGTATTGACAATAGGGTTTACAACCTCGATGGTGGATCAAGACATCCAAACGGTGCAGCAGCTATCAATGATTTGTTTGTTCAGTGATGAAAGCCCTACTGAAAGGCAACAGTGTCGGTCTGGAGACTGAGGTGTGCCTAAACCAGGCCATACATAGTCTTTGCAATTACTTGATATGCATCTATGCATCAGAAGGCTGGACAATGACTAGGGATGTTAAAAAGAAAATTGATGCTTTTGAGCTGTGGTGCTGGATAAGAGTATTAAATATACCATGGACTGCTAGGAAAAAAAATAGGTTTATCCTAGAGAGGGTGAGAGCAGGCTGCTCTGAAGCTTTGTCTAACATACTTTGGATGTGTTGCAAGGAGAGACCAGTCCTTGGAGAGGGACAACATGCTTGGGGGTCTGGAAAAACAGTGTAAAACAGGAAGACCCTCAATGAGATGGATTGATTCAGTGGCTGGGGTAATGGGGGTGGGTGTGTCAGAGACAATAAGGTTGGCACAAGGTAGAGGAGGTTGCAGAGGTTGTACATAGGGTCACTTTGAGTCATAAGTGACTTGACGGTACATAACAACTCTGGAAATAAAATTCTTTCCCTCTCCATAGTTTCTTGTTAACTATTGCAGAATGCAGTTAAATGTTTTTTTAATAATATTTTCAAACGTTTTTGGGAGGAAAGACTTTATTCCTTGTCATGCTTTGTCACTAATGTGACACTGATGTGTCTCTGTCCTGTTATCACAGTTGTCCTCAGGGAGCTGATAGAAATTACTGTAAACACTACAATTCTGCTGCCCTGTATTCATTATGTATTCCCCCTTTTTGCCATAAATTTTTAATTAGATTCCAGAGCTTTAAAATATTGATTTAGTTAGTCTTTGCCAGAATGTGGCTGTTTCAGTAGATGGATCTATTCTTGGAGTATTCTTTGAGTATGTTCTCATTTTCTGTTACATAATTTCTCTCTTTTTTATTAGAAACCTTTTTATTTGAGTCTTATGTTATTTTTCATTTTGTCCTTTTCCATTAATATTTTTGTTTCCTGGGGCCTGAACAAAGAGAGCCAATATTACACAATTTAATTCATAGACTTTCTTTTATGTCTCTTTTTTTCTATTTGAACAAGCTGCCAGTCAAAGTGTGAATCCTGCAGATTGTCTGAGCACTGCCCAGTCAGGCCAGTTACAAATTCATTCTTTTCCTTACATAAGAAAAAGCCAAAGTAGCACTGAGTCTCATTTTGTTTTGATTTATAGCTATATTAATGCTAAGTTTCAAAATTAAGTTGATGCTTCATTTTCTTTTCTGTTCACTTTCTCTGCTTTCATTTCAGAGCAATGTTTATGCCTATAGTCTATATGAAGATTTCACTTCACCATTAGGTGAGTTATTACTTTAACGTTTCAGTGACATTGGGAACATGAACTCTATGTAATTATTTCTTTCAAAAGGTAAATTTTACTGTATTGTTTTACTACGTTATTTATGACTATTGTAATGGGGGAAATCCTTGAAATTATAATATCAGAGAAACAAATTAAGCAAAGTGAAATACAGCCAAACTAAAAAATTGAAAACTTAGATAATATCTCATATGAGAAATCATACAATACTGTAAACAGTCACGGCAAACCTCCTGGAGAGTCAGCTATGAATTGGTTCTGACTCTGCAGTATATAGAAGCAACAACAGTATAGTACTTATAAGTACTTTATAATCTGTTCATCTGTGTTTTCAAATTTACTGGATACCCTTTAGATCTGTCTAGTGAAAAAGTTTTTCTAAGTCAAGGAGTTGTTCAGTGGCATCATTATGAAAACACATTCAGCATAATTCATATTCATATTCATTGCCATCAAGTCAGAAGCTACTCTTAGTAGCTGATCCTGTAGTGGGCTTCTAAGAGGAGCTACTAGTTAGCAGCAAACATCTGTGGTCTGTACCACCAGAATTCCTCACATTCAACATAAAGTAACTAAAAATGATAATAAAACTAGTTAACACTAGTATGGCATGGGGCTGTTGTGTTGTCTATAGGGAGTTTCACTGTTGTCCCAAAGGCTGGGCCTCGCTGGCTGTTTGAAACCACCAGCAGCTTCTCAGCAGAAAGATGATCAGTCACCTCTCGTGTGATTTACAGCCTCAGAAACCCCGTGGAAGGTCATCTATGAGTTGCTATGGCATGGGTATAGACGAATGGGATCAGGTATCACTGCTGGACCAAAGCTTTTGGAATCCGTGGCTGGAAGAAGGGAGAGCTTCCTAAGGGGTTTAACGCAGGCAGAACAATGCATGAGACTTGGGAACCATGGACATCTTGAGGCTTTTTGCCAATTAGTCTAGTGGTTGTTGCTGTCTGATATCAAGTTGGAACCGACTCATAGCTCTAGCAGATTTTTAGAGGCAGTAAATCACATGGGAGGAGATTGTCCATCGTTCTTCCACATCGCAGCTGGTGGATTTGAACCATGTACCTTTGGATTGTTGCACAGCTTCTTACCACTGTGTCATCAGAGCCCTCTGTTAGTCAAGTAGCATTTTAATATTTTAACCAGACATTTCCACCCTGAGATTACTACTGTAATATAATGAAGGAGACTCTTGCTAGAACAGCATTTGAGAGGGTACCTAAATAGACCAGCAGCCTTGGATTGTGGAGAGTGCTCTCCATAGAAAGAATTTATGAAGAGAAGAATCAGATAAAAGCAGCTGAAAAGTATTTTTTAGAATAAAGTCCCCAAAATGTGTTTGGCTTATCTTAAATAATGTAGTAAAATGAAGGCTTTTTACCATGGTGAGAATGGAATACTTCGGTCATATATGTATTTATTTATTGCTCCATATTATAATAACAATTTGAAGACTATATGTCAGAGTGCAGAAAGCTATTTGGGGACATAAGATGGTTAGTTCCAAGAAACACCACAGTAAAGAAAAATTTAAAATACACATGTCTTATTCTAAAAGAAAACAAGACCTTTTGTAATAACTTTCAAAAGTAGTACTGTATCTCAGGAGTCTGAGATAGTAGACAAGCTATAACTTGATAGCTAAAAAAAATTTATGTAATATTCTTCGGATTCTTCTAACCATGGTAGAACTTTTGGAATACATTTTATATAACAGCCAGCTCCTTATTTTCCTTATATTCTTATTTTCTTATTTCCAACTATTTTTTTAAAGAAGAAATTATTCCATAGAATAATAAAACCCAAACCAATTAGTTATCCTTCTATGCAGTATCTGTCCTTGTACTGAATTAGTTCACACAGCAAAAGGCTCTCCATCCAGTCTCTCCCTAGTTATGTAGTATTTTTCAAAATCATCCCTCCTGAGTGTTGCGTAGTATTCCTCCATGTGGAATATAATTTCTCAGTCCATTCCGTAGTGGTTGGACATTTGGGCTGGAGAAGAGGGATAAAGGTGAGTAGGGGGAAAAAATCACAGGGTCACATGATTTGGTGTGTAGAGGGAGGAAGTAAAGATCTGGGGTTGTGGGGGGACCTGAAATGACAGGGTAATGGTGGGCATAGTCTAATGGTGATTGCTTTTATAAAATACAATGTGGGAATGATTGTATGAAACAATGTCAATGAAGGAAAGTGTGAAATATACACACACAAAGCAAAACCAAAATCAAACCCACTGCCATTGAGTTTATCCCACTTCAGATCAATCCTGTGGGACGGAGTAGCATTGCCTCCTCAGGTTTGCAGGGCTATACGTCTTATAACAGCCTGTCTCATCTTTCTCCTGCAGAGTATCTAGTAGATTAGAACCACCACCCTTTAATTAGCATTACAGTATTAATCCACTACACCACCAGAACACTTTATCAAGCATTAAAAAATATTAACGAAGGTATCTCATCTCTGCTTGCTAGTAACTAGCTGTATGAACTTTGGCAGTCATTTGTCTTATAAAAATCTCAGTTTTCCATTTTAAAAATTCAAAAGTGAAATTAGATACTAAAATATTTTCATAATTCTCTGGAGTTGCTTTCTACTGCTTTATTTAATCTCCATATCTTTGTAAAACTTAGCATGATAAGTCATTTAATCTTTGTTCATCTGTAGGATGCTGACACTATTATCCTAATTTTACATACCAGACAGCTGAGGTACCAAAAAATGGAATAATTTGAAAAATCCTGTAAAAGAAGTCCATTAAGTAAGTCAGTGATGCAGTCTCCTCTAAAGAGTAAGAAGGCTTTGTAAGCAATGTCAACCCAAACACAAGATTGCAACAAACATCTAGCGGTTAAGAAGCTGCACTGCAATCTCAAAGGCATGTGGTTCAAGTCCACCAATTGCTCCATGGGAGGAAGATGGGCAGTCTTCTCCAGAACGATTTCCTGCCTCTGAAAACCTTCTCGAGGGACAGCTGTGGGTCAGTTCTGACTCAACAGCATGCATCTACAGCAAATATATATTTGAGATTCTCTGGTGCTGTAGTATACAGCATATCAGGCTGCTAACCAAGAGATAAGCAGTTAAAACCCCTAGTGACACAGTGGGAGAAAAACGGGAAATCTCCACTCAGAAAGATTTACAGCCTCCAAAATCCAAAGGAGGGTCCCTATAAGTCAGACTTGACTCAGTGGCAGAATATAAAGATATTTGAAGTCACAGTCCCTTACCACCAGGCCACCAGAGCTCCCCATTACAGACTAGTCTTAGGTAATTAACCCAATAGTATCTATAAATATACAAAATGACATGTTGTGCCTTAAATCTGTTAATATGGCACACATAACACTCTTATTGCATTCCTTTGTTATTTCTTGTAAGTAAATTGGAGACCATAAGTGACATGAACAATTAATGTACTTAACTGTCAAACCAAAGGTTAGAGGCTTGAGTCCACCTAGAGATGTGTTACATTGGGAAAATCTGCTGTCAAGGACCTCTCCAAGGTGTTAAGGAACAATGATGTCAGTTTAAAGACTAAGTTGCATTTTATTCAAGCCCTGAGCTTTTCAGTTACTTGCTATGCCTCTGATAGTTCAGCAATGGATAAAGATGACAGAGGAAGAATTAATGCCTATGAGTTGTGGTTTTTCAGAAGAGTACTAAATATCCTATGGACTGTCATGAGAACAAATCTATCTCAAAGAAAGTGCAGCCAGGTTGCTCCTTTGAGTAAAGGTTGGTGAAGCTCAGTCTCATATATTTTGGGCATGTTGTTAGGAGGGGCTGGTCTTTGGAGAAAGACATCATACTTGGAAAGGTGGAGGGTTAGTGGAAGAGAAGACGACCTTCAACAAGATGATTGACACAGTCATTATAACAACAAGTTCAAGTGTATCAGATACAAGATACAAGATAGGGCAAGGTTCAGATCCATTGTTCATGAGGTTATATGAATCATTGTTGACTCAACAACACCTAACAACAACAACAGAGGTACCTGGAAAGAAATGCCTTACAACTTACAAATGAAAAAATTTAGCCACTGAAAACCCAATAGACAGTTCTCCTCAAACACACATGGAGTCACCATGACTCAGAGTCTACTCAACCAGTATCTGATAGGCAAATTAGAGCCACATAGGAGCCCAGCCCAGTTGGCTTCATACTACATACTTAGATTTGGTTCCCAGTATTTTGTATATATTTTAGTCTAACACTACATCTCATTGGAAATCATGGTGATCCATTCCCTACTGCATTTTCCCCCATTTCTTTTTAATATTTTATTATTTTATTTTTTATTATTAATTTTAATGAAAGTTTACCAGAGACTTTGGATTTCCACCCATTCATTGTTGCACTTTCTCTCTGCCCACCCCTCACCCCAGTTCGCTCTTCTCTTTGAAAAGCAAAAGAAAAATTCTTTCTTTTGTTATACAATCCCTCCCCCCAAGTCCACTCCACTATGCAGCCTTCATTGTGGACTCTTGTCATGACAATAATACCTAATCCTTTTTAAACAGTTTTCTCCCTCATCTGTTTCAATGCAGTATATATGATTTATGCCATCTTTCTCAGTTTCCCCCCACCCTGATGTCAGTCCTGTTTTACACCATTGACACTATGCACTATTTGTCCTTTTGTGACTGAGATACCTCACTCAGCATAATGTCCTCCATGGTCACACATTTTGTATAATATTTCATGAGTTCCTGGTTTTTCAATGCAGTGTAGTGTTCCACTGTGTGAATATACCACAGCTTCTCTGTCCATTCGTTTGTTGATGGGCACTTAGGTTGTTTCCAACTCTTTGCTATTGTGAACAAAGCTTCAATAGACATGTGTGTGCATTCCTCATTTATTACATAAGAATCCTCTCTTAACTTTTCAAGTTTTGAGGAAATAGGGAATTCTTGGTCAAAGGCACACAAAAACGAGTGTATGGTTTGTGCAGCTTTCACAGAGTTGGTTACCTATGACAAATGAATGAGGGCAGGCCACCCAAATAGCTGTTTCCAGTAGACTACAGTTAGGCAGCTACAGGAAGAGGGGGGAAAGCAATGCTTCGACCATCTCATGAAACAGGACTTTAAATATTGTGTGTGATTTTTTTTTAAGAGTCACGTGTCTCTCTCACACACACATTCACAAAGCCACCTGGAGGAAGTTGTTTTATTTAAGGGTGTTTGTTTGTTGGGTTTTTTTAATTGGTATTAAAAACGAGAGACAAAACTTGAAGCAATCCGTACAAATAGCTACAGTGAAAACTGAGACAAGAATGCATGACCTGCTTCGTGTTTCTAGGTCTAGCAAGTTGCCACACCTTTGAAGGCATATGATTTGTCATTTTTCTGTTGCTAAACTTTCCACTGGATGATGTTGTTTTTAGTTGACCTGGAGTTGACCACCACTCATAGTGGCCTTATCCACCTCATTGTCACAGTCAGTGTGGTGTTCATCTTACAGAGTCTCTCTTTCACTGTTCCTTTACCTTTCCCAGCATGGTGTCTTTGAGGACTGGCCCCTCCCAACAATGTGTCCACAGGATGTGAGGTGACATTTTACCATTCTTGCCTCTAAAGAACACTCTGGTTGTATTTCCTCTCAGATGGCTTGGTTTGTTCTTTGCGCAACACTCTTCTCCAACACCACAGTTATTGTTCTATCCAATTTTCACATACATAGGAAGCAGCTGAAAATACCATGGCTTCATTAATATGTGGGCATTGTCATTTTCAGGCCATAAAACAACAAGTATTTCAATGACTGATAGGAAATAAATTCTCAACATCAACTTTCACTCAAATAACAATGAAAAAATGTTCCTGAAGAGGGGGAAAAATAGAAGAAGCAGACTATCACATAAAGATGAAATGAGCCTTCCTAATTCGCCTCACAAGCAGGTTTTGACTTTCGCAGACTTTAATATAGTCTTGCTAAAGGGAGCTCTGGTGGTGTTAGTATGTAGAGTTTCACTGCTAATCCACAAGCTACTTCACTTTGCCAATATGGATCCACCAGCAGCTCTTTGGAAGAAATATGAGCCGTTTCCTCCCTTCTTTCCATGAGATCCTACTGGAGAATTATGAGTCACTTCTGACTACATGGCAATGAGTTTGACTCTGATAGTCTTATTATCATACTAATATTTTATATTCATAAAAATATAAAGCATAGCAAAATTTTATTTTTTTCATTTAATATATGTATCTCAACAATATTATTAAATAGAATAGACTTATTACGTGACAAACACAAAGGAGCAGTGTTTCAAGGGCTAGAGCACAGGACACGAGAGGGTGACAAAAATGACAAAGTTGATGTTCACTTGGAGCTAATGTTCCAGCACAGTAGTAGATAGTTTAGCCCACCAAATCTACGCAATAATCCTGTAAAGAAGGATGAGAAAACAGGCCAAGAGAGGCAAAAAAACCTTGTCTAAACTTACATGGTCACTGAGTGACAGGGACTCTTTGAGCAGTCTGCACTAGAGCCTGTGCTCTTAACCACTGTGGTTCACAATCATCAGTTAGAGATGAGTTGGTAAAACACACTTGTTGGTGGCCATCCGTGCCACCTGACTTATATAATGATTTCTTTCTCTCTTGTTTTCAACAGACTCTGATCTGGGAAATGCAAATGAAAAAGAAAGAAAAGTAAGTAGATAGATATATCCTTTAAAAATATTGTTAGCCCTAATACTGTATAAGGCCATTATTATAGAACGTGTATGAGGATCCATGAGGGAGCAGTGGGATGAGGACCGGCAGGGTTTTGGGGGGGTTGGTTAATCATATGGCCACACAATTTGCTGGGTGGAGGAAGGGGTGGGAAAATGAAACAGGAAAGATGCGGTATGAAAAACAGCGTATACAAACTTCGTAAGTAAACCAGTGTAACATAAGGATTTTATTTAAAAAAATATTGTTAGAGGGAGCTCTGGTGGCCTAGTGGCAAGGAGCTGCATCTACAATCCCAGAGGCGCACGGTTCGAATCCACCAGATGCTCTGCCGGGGAAGGAGGGGCAATCTCCTCCTGTACCAGTCAGATCTGATTTGACGGTACACGCACACAAAAATAATAAAATAAAAAGAAAAATATTGTTAGCACTGATGGCTTACTCTGGACTTTGCTTGTGGATGCAGATTTTCAAAGTTTCCAAGTTCAACAGAGGATTCTCCAGCAAAAGAGATACACTTGTTTCCTCCCTTGTTTGATAGGGATGAGCAAAGCAGAAATTAGCTATCTAAAATGGGGATATTAAGGCATGAGGCCTGAAATTAGATGGCTTACACACTTTCGTGAATGTATGAATTCATGAATTTCATAAAAGTCAAGTGATTTTGAAAAATACTACATAACTTGGGAGAAACTGAAGAGCATTATGCTGAATGAACTAACTCAGTCTTATAAGGACAAATAAGACCATTATTGTAAAAATAGAAGGATAACTAATAAAACATGTATGGGGATTAAGGGGAAGAGTGAGAGTAAAGGGGTGAGGATGGGGAAAGATGAAATCACAGGGTTGCACAATTAGGTGGGTAGAGGAAGGGGGGGGATAAAGGAAATTGGAAAGATCTGGCAGGGATCTGAAAAGGCAGAATAATGGTGGGCATAGTGTAAATGGTGATTAATTTTATAAAACATAAAGAATGGGAATGATTTAATGCAACACAATGTGAATGAAGAATAGTATGGAACACAGTGTACACTAACTTTTAAGCAGTGCAATATAAAATAAATTTTTTTAAAAGGTGAATATAAGGGGTGCTCTGGTGGCCTAATGGCAAGAAGCTGCACTGCAATCCCAGAGGTACACGGTTCGATCCACCAGATGCTCTGCTCAAGAAAGAGGGGCAATTTCCTCCTATACCAGCCAGATCTGATTTGATAGTACACACACAAAAATAATTTTAAGTTTTTTTTTAAAAAAAGATGATACATAAATGTGGTATATACATGTGGTGGGATATTACTCTATTATCAAAAGAAGGTCTTGATACATGTTACAACCATGAAAGAGCTTGAGTGATGTAAATCAGTCACAAATGGACAAATATTGTAAAAAAAAATATTGTTAGCATTTTAACATTGTTTTGAATTAAATGTTAATTTAGAATTATTATAAACCTTTGAGTCAGAAGCACCCTGTAGCTGACCCTCCAGCAGGTTTTCAGAGGCAGTAAATCACACTGGAGGAGACTCCTCATCTTCCTCCCGTAGAGAAACTGTTGGTTTTGAACTGAAATAATACTATGAGAAATTAGTATGTGCTGATCTTCAAACAACTGTTTAAGATTGCTGTGTGTATATTTCAGAGTTCTGATGGTCAAGTGGGTAGGGAATTGCACTGCTGGCCTAAAGACAGGTGGAATGCATAATCTGAAGAAGATAAAATTGATGAATGGGACCTTCTAAAGACACATTGCACACACTTTTAAATTGACGACCGGGCTTAGAAACATGTGCAGGTGTGGCAACGTGTTAAATCCATCTGTGCATGAAAAACTTTTTCCAACAGGGTAAAAAGAAAACCTACCGACTGAGAACAAATATTTGATAATACCATCTCAGACAAGAGTCTCATAACAAAATTTTACAGAATACTCCCGGGCTTCCACAAGAAAAAGACTGATAACCCAATTACAAAATGGGCAAAAGACATGGAAAGAATTTTCACAGAGGAAGATATTCAAATGGCAAACAGACATATGAAGAAATGCTCCAGATCACTGGCAATAAGAAAGATGCAAATCAAAGCCACAATGAGGTACTGTCTCACTCCAGTAAGAGTGGCAAAGTTTAACAGGGCAGCAAGTAATATATGTTGGAGAGGATGTGGCAAGATAGGAACTCTTATACATTTTTGGTGGGATTGTAAAGTGATGCAACCATTCTGGAAGGCAGTTTGGCGCTTTCTCAAAAAGCTGAACATAGAAATGCCTTATGACCCAGCTGTTCCACTACTTGGAATATACCATGAGAATATGAGAACTGAGGCACAAACAGAGATCTGTATATCAGTGTTCATAGCACCATTATTCACCATTGCAAGAACATGGAAACAGCCCAAATGCCCAACCACAAATGAATGGATTGAGAAATTATGGTACATTCATACAATGCAATACTATACAGCACGCAGGAGCAATAACTTTGTAAATTATTACCTAACTTAGGAGGGACTGGACAGCATTATGCTGAGTGAACTAACTCAGTCATATAAGGATAAATATTGTATCAAACTGTTATTGTAGAATGAGTATAAGGATCCAGGAGGGGTGGGAGAGGCTGGAAGCAGAAGGATGTGGATGTGCAGGGGGAAGGGGGAATTAATCATTGAGTTGTACAATTTGGTGGGTGGGAGGTTGAGGAAAATGGGAAGGATTTGTTCAAATTTGTATTTTAATTTTGTAAATTAACTAGTAGGAAAATTTTTAAAAACTAAATATTCTAAATCACTGGCAGTAAGAGAGATGCAAATAAAAAGCCACAATGAGATATCATCTCACTTCAGTAACAGTGGCAAAGTTTGTCAGAGCAGCAGGAAATATATGTTGGAGAGGATGTGGCAAGATAGGAACTCTTCTACATTGAGTGTGGAATTGTAAAATGGTACAACCATTTTTTTTTGGTACAACCATTCTGGAAGGCAGTTTGGCACTTCCTCAAAAAGCTGAACATAGAAACGCCTTATGACCCAGCTATTCCACTGCTTGGAATATACTCTGAGAAGACGAGAACTGAGGCACAAATAGAGACTTGTACACCAATGTTCATAGTATTATTTACCATCACAAGACCATGGAAACAGCCCAGATGTCCCACCAAAATTGAATGGATTGGGAAATTATGGTACCGTCATGAAATGGAATACTATGCATCACGCAGGAGCAATGATTTTATAAATTATTACCTAGCTTGGGAGGGACTGGAAAGCATTATGCTGAGTGAATGACTCAGTCCCACAAGGACAAATATTGTATAAAACCATTATTCTAGAATAAGGATGAGGATCCAAGGTGGGGGGGGGGAAGCAGAGGGATGAGGATGTGCAGGGGTGGGGTGAATTAAACATGGGGTTGTAGAATTTTATGGATGGGATTGTTGATTGCCATCAAGTCGAGCACAACTCATAGTGATCCTATGAACAAAAGACCTGAAGCCTTTCTCTAACTATTGTCATTTATCAAAGTGCAAAGAGTTTTTAGAGGCTTGTTGTTTAGGAATTGGATGCCATTTCTGCTTCCAAACCAGATAGCAGCCAATATCATGATAGATGGAGAAAAATTCTGACGTTATCAAGGATTTATTTTTACATGCATCCACAATCAACACCTATGTTAGCAGGGGGTGTATGTGTGAGAGAGACAAATTGGAAGAATCTGGTCTGAAAAACAATGTATTCAAATTTTGTAAATAAACTAGTATAATTTTAAAAAAGAATGAAAAAAGAACCTGCAAAAAAAAAAGGGGGGGGTGGAACTAAAGGTAGACAGTTTGAATTCAGCTGTGGGAGAAAGGTAGACAGGCAATTTATACCTATGTTATAATTTGTATTTATTATTGATTTATAATAAGAGCTCTATGGAGGGTCAGCTATGAGTTGGTTCTGATTCCATGGCATGCATATGTGTGTGTGTGTATCTATTTCTCTTTATATTTAAAGTAGTTGTGTGGTTCTTACTTTTATTACCAAGACATTTGAAGGAAAAACAATGCTAATACCCTTTTGTAGAGTAGGAGTAGGTACACAAACTTCTTGGGTTCCATGCAAAAGGATTTAGTTACTTTAAAGACAGTAATCACAAGATTTCCATGGCACTATTTATTCTTCTGTTTACTCTCATTTTCCAAGTGAACCTTTAAAATTACCTGGAATTAATTTCTAACATTCTCCTAGATTGACTCATACATCTAAAAAAATAGCACATTCATTTTATCTAATTATGTGGTCGACAACTTTATTTAAAAGTGTCATATTGTTTATATGGCACCACATTGTTATGGAAAAAGTACAAGATTTCAAGTCGTATCAGCCTCTTACTAGCTGATGGTTAAAAGAGACTAATTTATATATATTTATATATACCATGCTAAGTTTTTATGTGCCTTATTCTATTTAATTATCACAATAAGTATTATCTATTTATATTTTACAGATGAGAGAATTGAGACAATAAGATTAAGTAACTTTTACAATATCACACTGCAGGGGAATTATGATTGTTGTTCATATAACTAATCATCCTGTCTTGCTTCCCTGGCTTTGAGGAGCTAAAATTTTATTAGGCAGTGTGGCTGGCAGATAAGCAAACAGGGTACTATTATATTACAGTTCTGCTAGATAAATTGTACCTTGAAAGTACCACTAGTTTCTATGAAAAATTCACTGAACATACACACCTGGGGCCAGAGAGAGAGGGTAGAGAGAGCAATAAAATATCTTTTTGAGAGAAAAGAAGTGATTCATTCAATGAGGTAGTGTATGTAAAATATCCAATGCCTTGCATATACACCTTGGGCTGTCATGGATGAATTGAAATAAAATTTACTAAGAGTGGCCTTTCCCAGGAAGTAGCTAAGGGAATACACCGTCCCCTTTTCCTTATGAATCAGGGTGAAGCCTCTCTCAGGGAGGAGTGATAGGGA